GCCCCCAGTGTGGGCGAAGGACTACGACATGATGTTTGCTGGTGTGGCTCTAGGTGCAATGGAGTATGTCGAGAACTTACCGGGAAGCATCGCGGAATTGAAGAAGAGGTCGGATTGGCTGAAGTGGCAAGCGGCAATACAGGACGAGATGGATTCTTTGCAGCGGAATAAAACCTGGACACTGGTGAAGCTACCGAAAGGTCGAGTGCCGATTTCGTGCAAGTGGGTGTTCCGGGTAAAGCCAGGCGAAGGAGGTGGTCCAGATCGATATAAGGCTCGGCTTGTTGCGAGGGGTTTCAGCCAGCGGTATGGTTTTGATTACACGGAAACCTACTCACCGGTAGTTAAACTGGACACGTTGCGAACTATGTTGGCTGTGGCTAATCAAGAGCGAATGTTCGTTCACCAAATGGACGTTCGCACGGCCTTCCTCAATGGCGATCTGAGTGAGGAAATCTACATGTCACAACCGGAGGGTTTTGCGGAAGGAGCAGATTTGGTCTGTCGGCTACATAAGTCACTGTACGGCCTCAAGCAGGCGTCGAAAGCTTGGAATGATCGCTTCCATCGATTCATTGCTAGGCTAGGGTTCAAGAGGAGCAGCAGTGACCAGTGTCTGTATTGGCGAGGTGAGAAGGAGCGGAAGATCTACCTGATCCTATACGTGGATGACATTCTGGTCATTGGAAGCAACCTGAAGGAGATTCAAATCGTCAAAGCTTGTCTTTCTAAGGAGTTTGACATGACCGATATTGGCGAAGTTTCCAGTTTCTTGGGTATGCGGATTGAAAGAGACGTCGAAAAGCGGATCATGTGCATTAGTCAGCGCAGGTACCTCGAAGGTTTGTTGAATCGATTCAACATGGCAGATTGCAAACCAAGCAAGGTACCGATGGAGTGTCGCCTGAAACTCCAGAAAGGAGAAGAGTCGCAGCGCACATCGAAACCGTACAGGGAGCTAATTGGTTGTTTAATGTACGTAACCTTAACAACTCGTCCAGATCTTTGCGCTTCGGTCAACTATTACAGTCAGTTCCAGAGTTGTCCGACTGAGGAGCACTGGACACATTTGAAGCGGCTTCTACGGTACATTAAGGGTGCTGTTGACATAGGACTGGAGTACAGAGGTGATAACAATGTGGATATTGTTGCGGCTTACTGCGATGCGGATTGGGCGAACAGTGTCATCGACCGGCGTTCGGTGACGGGTTACGTGTTTAAAGTGTTCGGCTGCGTGACGACTTGGTTGACCAGAAAGCAACAAACTGTTTCGTTGTCATCCACTGAAGCTGAACTGGTCGCGCTCAGCACAGCGGTTTGTGAAGGAGTGTGGCTGATCCGTCTTCTGGAGGAAGTAGGTTACAAGTTTGCTGTTCCTGTAACTTTCTTTGAGGACAACCAGTCTACCATAAAGGTGGTGCAAGATCAAAAGGACCACGGTAGGCTGAAGCATGTTGACGTGAAGTTGCACTACATCAGAAGCATGATTCAGCAGGGACGCATACGAATGGAGTACATTCCGACGGAGCGGCAAGTAGCAGACATCATGACGAAGTCACTACCAGGTGGGCCATTCTGTCGATTGCGGGGGGAACTTAACCTCTCAACTATCAGAAATTGAGCAGGGATGATAAGGTATACAATTTCTCAGTGTGTACTCGATGTATTTTGTTTTTAACGCCCAATGCTTTTTTTTTCTTTTGCGCGCCAAGCGCTGTTTTCATTCATTCCAAATTCAGATCTCTGTAAGATAAGACACGAATAAAGTACGCGGTTTAGAATTCGTTAATTCCGGTGTTTTTATTCTCCGAAAGTAGTCCGCCCAATAGTTTCTGGTCTTAAAGTTACCTCTATGATTATACTACGTTCAGACTATAGTTGATATCACGTAATATAAAGGGTGTTACGATCAAAATTTGGACGACTTAAACTTGACATATTTCTTTTAATCGAGCATTTAAAAAACCTGAACACTCCTCATTTTGTAGATGTGTGCGTGCAGCATTATGCCTCTATTTTGATTTTGTCATTCGCTCTTCAGTTATCAAAATGGCGTCCAGGCAAGAGGAACAGCACATCAAAATTTTGCCCGATCATCGCAAAAATCCGAACTACTCGCACGCCGAGTGTTTCCTCCGAGCTTCCTGGGTAGGAGTTTTTTTTTACGGCAACCGGAAGAAGAAAGGTGGCAGACATTTTCAAGCATATGATACTGGGATGTCAACTGGGACCGTCAACCAGGAAAATTACGTAAACGAGTGTCTGGAAAAATGTCTACTGCCTTTCCTGAAGCAAAACAATTGTTCCGTGCTGTTTTGGCCGGATTTGACATCCAACTATTACGAAAAAAGTAAGTAAAATTCTTCTTTATTTTGATTTGCTATGTGGTTTACAATTGCTAATACAGGGCAAGAGGTTAGCCAGAAGGGCTCTTCACTTTTGGTGAACTTTTTGATTTTGTGTTGTATATGTTGTGTTTAACTGTGTAATGTTTTTCAATTTTCTTCTTGTGAAGAATGTTTGATTTAAATTTTTAAATTTTGTTATTCTACCTACTTAACCTAACGTGCCAGATCCCTGACGATCTGTTGATCGGATCGCCTACAGCAATCTCTGAACCTTGCGATGGATTCAGCTCTCCGTAACTCCAGTGTCTGAAGACCAGCCAGGCGGTGGACCTCAGAATTTCTAGTCCGCGGGGGACTGTTAAGGATCATCCTAAGGATCTTGTTTTGGATGCTTTGGAGTTTGAGGTGATGGCATTTGGTGCAACTCTCCCAGATTGGCATCCCGTATTCTATTAAGGGAAGGATGATTTGTTTGTAGACAGCAAGCTTATTTTTCAGGGACAGGGTAGACCTCCTGTTGATGAGTGGATACAGCGATCTTATCAAGATGTTGCACTTAGTTTTGGTTTTGTCAACGTGCTCCCTGAAAAGAAGCTTGCTGTCTAGTGTTAGCCCTAGCTACACGACCTCTTGGGACCATTTTACCACTGACCCGTTTAAGCAGATCTTATTATTCTCAGACGGAACAAGTCTGGGAGATTTTGAGTGTGGAAAGATGATGACCTGGGTCTTTGCCGCGTTGATACGGATCTTCCAGCTGTTGAAATATTCAGACAAGACGTCAGCACCGATGTTGAAATCATCCGATGTGATGCTATTCAGAGAGACTCGGAACGTCCTGTTCGATAGATAGTTGTTTATTATCTTCAATAGGAAGATTGGAAAACCGTACTGCTGTAATTTGAACACCAGGCCATCAGCCAGACATTGTCGAACGCTTTTTCACCGTCCAACAACGCCATGGCAGATGTTTTCGAAACAGACTTGTTCCGTGTGAGAATGTTTGTCACTCGAGTCAGCTGGTGGACGGTCGAACGACCTTTCCGAAAACCAAACTGTTCCTCGAGTAAGATGTTTTTTTGTTCGGCAGATGTTAGGAGCCGGTGGTAGACTGCTCTTTCGAACAGTTTTGGTAACCCTGAGAGAAGGCTGATTGGTCGATAACTTGAAGGAGAGGACGGATCCTTCCCAGGTTTCCGGATGGGTATGACTTTAGCTGACTTCCAACACGAGGGCCAAAAGGCCAACAGTTCGTCAGCCGTAATCTCGGATTCCTCTGGAAAAATATTGGGAATCTGATAGAGGTTGGTTGCGTTTTCAGCAACCTCAGCTTCGTGAGAGCTGATGATGTTTTGTCCGAGATTATGGGAGGTGAAGAAGTGTTGACCTATTGCGGCAGCCTTCTCTTCAGGGGTTATCAGATGAACCACTGGGTTGCCTAACAATCCAGTGGGGTCAGTGGTGGAATGGATCTTGGCTTATTTTTAAGAATTTTGGTTAGTTTCCAAAAGGGCTTCTGCACAATCTGGGAGAGAGCGGATCCTGTTAGCATAGTCCTGGTTTCTGAGGTCCACCATCCTGGCTTGGATGGTTTTTGTTTGGCGATTACAGTGGGTCTTAAGGACAGGCAGACCAGAGAGTTGGTACTGCCTTCGGATGGTGTTACGGAGTCTTATAAGGTCTTTGGTAGATCTGTCAAGGTTCAGAATATTGCTCACCTGTCTGGATACTGGCACGTGTTGTTCCGTGGTCCGGGATATCGCCTTATCGATGGAATGCAGACACCGGTCAACGTCTTCGGGCGTCTCCGGAAGGACACCGTAGTCGACACAGTGTTGGAACTGATCCCAGCTGACACAATGGTAGTTGCGTCGGGAAGCTTGGAATCGGTTGACGGATGAGCCCACTTCGGCCACCACCGGATAGTGGTCCGAACTCAGCTCCTGGTGGGTCATAGGTTGCGAGATGTTGTCGATGATGGAGTGCACGCCGGACCGACTCAGCGGGGTGGGAGTGTCCGGCGCCAGGATGGTGTAATGAGCCTCTTGCAGGTCGTCATTCAGGATGGTGCCGTTTTGATTCCGCCTTTGGGTGCCCCAAGCTTGATGTTTGGCGTTCAGGTCACCAGCGATGATGAATTTTGTACGGCGTCGTGTTATCTTGACAATATCCCTCCGCAGGTCTGCCGCGGATCAGCCCTGGCGTTTGCTTGTTTCGGGCAGTAGGCCGCAATGATGGTGACAGGGTCGACGGTTGTGAAGACTTCCACTCGCAATGCTTCAACCATTTTCAGCTGGAAACTGGGTAACAGCCGGCAGCAGATGTTGTTCCTTTAGCGATGGCCACTCCACCACCTCCAGAGCTTGTCCGATCCAGCCTCACGAGCCGGAATCCAGGTTTCATGTGAGTTTCGGTGATGATAGCGATGTCGATGCTATGTTCGTTGAGGAAGTCAATGAACTCGATAATTTTGCTCTTGAGCGAGCAAGCGTTGCAGTTTGCGATTTTGATGAGCTCACGGTCCATAACTGAGCATGAAGGTAGCCACAGCTTGAAGCTGGTCGAATTTGTTTTTGATGGTGTTGGCAATGTCGTGCATCTTGAGGAAGATGATCATTAGTTCCGCTGCGGTCGGTCCATCCTGACGCCAGTTTAGCCCAGGGCTGTGGGGAGATCCTGCGGCTGTGGAGCAGCAGTCGTCTGTTGACCTGAGTTTGCAGGGGCTCCGGAAGTTTGAGCTTGAGTGGCAGTAGCAGTGGAACGAGCAGCAGCCAATCGTTGATTGAGTGGCAGCGGTGACAGCACTGTGATCGGTCGTCGTGGAACCGGTGGGAAGTTCTGATCATTCATTTCCGGCACCTTCTTGCGGCCGGGCTGGTTTCTCGTCGATGCTTTCTTCCGGATCTCGATGTACTCGAAGCGCTTCGGGCAGGCCTTGCTTGTAACTTTGTGAGCAGCCCTGCAGTTGGCGCAAATGGGATCGGCTTCATCGAGTCTGTCGCAGGCGTCGGTTTGGCATTAGCTTCCCACACTTGATGCAGCGGCTGACCATATGGCAATTCTTCGTTCCATGCCCGAACAGTAGGCAGTTCGAGCATTGGGTGACTCTACGGCTGACCGGCTTGTAACGCTCACACTTCAACACTATGTTGAACAGGACGCGGATGCCCTGGAGGTCCATCAAAGTTGTTGAGTTCTTCTCAAGGTGAACCAGGTATAGCTGGTCGCGGTACTTGACGGCTTTGTTGTGGCGGGCCATCTTGTGAATTTGGACCGGCTTCAGTCCATTCACCAGCTCTTGCAAGAGGACACCTGTGTCCATGTCGTATAGTCCGCCTTGAATGGCTTAACAGCCTCGATTTCGTAGGAGAAGTACTCCACCTGTGATTTGTCCAGTATGGTCCTTTACCGTCTTGTAATATTTCAATGCCGCAACCATCAGTTTGTATCCTTCCTTGCACAGCTGGATGGTGCACCGGACGCCCTGCGTAATGAAGAAGTTTATTTTTTCCCGTAGTCCGGGAGGGAAGCCCTTCACGTAGAAGGGCGGTGTTCTGTCCTTCTTTGGCGGTCCTGTTGTTTCCGTCACCGGTTCTGCACCGTTCTTCAGAACGGAGAACCGATTGTTGTCGAGTCGCACTGTCACTGTTGTCTTCAAGCCTAGACCGTTTCCCGGGACTGCCGGCACTCGCGCCACTGCGCGATTTTTTACCCATGGCTGGTTTAGCAAGAGCGTCACTATTCAACGCGAGAAAAAACCGAACAACGCAATCGAACGAACGAAGAGAGCGAGAGAGAAAACGTCGACTGTACTGCTCAACAGTCTGGCAGCGAATTACGAAAAAAAAGAAGGTCATGGACTTTTATCCATGGACCCTCCCAACCAGTGCTGTAAATTTTCATATCATTCGATTGAAGATGAACCAATACAACCATTCAATCAATTATGTGTAAACGAATTCTCACATGACCATAATTTGAAGAGCCCCTTTCTCATTCGAAGCTCATTGTCACTGTCAATTGAGTAACTCACTATCATTTGATATACGACAGTGGAGTATGGAAGAAATCCAGCAAAATGGTCCCGAACAGACAAGTCGACCCGATGTCGGATCAATGTAGGGCTAATTTTAGGTCGATGTCGACCCAATGTCGTGTTGTTGTCGGGTCAATTTTGGGTTTATGTCGGGTCAATGTCGGGTCAACATCGGGTTGGGGTTTGATAGAAGTCAGGTTGGTGTCGGGTTGGCATAGCTTTTTCGTCGGAATGTCGACCAGAGCTCCGTTTGTGTGTAGGTTACACTCAATTGAATGATATATAGCGTTTCTCAAATGAGAATGATCCATGCCTTCGTTAAATGACTAAGAAACTAATATCACCCATTCGGAGGAGGACCCCTTTGATAGCGAATAGCTGCTTTTCTCATTTTCATCAAAAATGATCAAATGATTTTGAGAATTTACAGCACTGCTCCCAACACTAAAGAGCTCCGCCCAATCCGAAAATATTGGGCCATCGTCAAGCGGAACCTGAAGAAGAACCAAAAACTAGTGGAAGCGAGAATCAGTTAAAGTCAAACTTGTGTTTTTTTTTTGTAAATCCATTTATTTATCAAGGCTCAAATGCGAAAGCTTTACGGAGCCGAAATTCTTTTTTCTTTTTACAATGTTGCTTAGAGTTAGTATAAGGGGTGTCCGAATACTCGCGGCTTACTCGAGGTTACGGGCTACAATCTATTAAAAGGTAGGGAAGAGATCAAGGAAACAAGGATGCGATTGATATATTTATCTCCACCGCGGTTAACTGGCTGTTTTTCGACGATTGACCATGGGAGATGCACTGAGGTGACGGGAAAGTGCTCTTGATCTCTCTCGAGATGACTGGTGGTAGTTTACAACAACTGCAACGAAACATAAAAAGAGGGGCTTGGGAAGGGACAACGATCACTCACACTCTCAAACGCTAGTAATTTTAAACGTCAAAGTTGATGATCGACGAAAGCATTGGCCATTTAGAAACTAGTTGCTTCAAAAGTGTATTCAACATTGGAATCATCAAGACAATAATGTTCCTCATGGAGTCAGACACATTCAATATTCCGAGAATGCCATCTACAATTCCAGAAAACGTGAACATGGCTGCATGTTGCCCTGGCTGTGTAACTGGAATATCCGAAGCCTTGGAAGAAGCTGGAAGCCGCGGAAAGTCCCTATCAACATCAAATGGTTTGAGTGGAGGGGCTTTCGGAACATTACCACTACTTCCTGGTTTCTTCAAGATGAGTCGAGGTTCAATACGAGAGGCCTGCTGAGGCTGTTGCGTGATAATGTTGGATCGCTTCCTAGGTGGGAAGGAAGGTCGAAGGGGTTACTACACGGAGGAACTCGGGAAGATGGAGTAACTGATCTTAGGATTTCCGCGAAGGAACGCTGCGCGCGAGCCTTCAAAGACCGCTGGAGTTTTTCTCCCTGCTGTTTGTATCTTGGACAATCAGTAAGAGCATGCGGAATTTCCAAAAAATATGAACATTTTGGGGAGGCACGTCCATATGTTTCTCCCCACATTGATCACAGCGTGGCTTGTTACCACAGAAAGCCGCAGTGTGCCCTAGTCGCTTACATTTTGTGCAGTTCATTGCCTTTGGTACAAACAAGCGCACAGGTAATCGGATCATTCCTATTGCGACGTAATCTGGTAGTACTGACCCAACGAAGGTCACACGAAACGAGTCCGAAAGCGTGTAAGTTTTCTTCGTTCCAACGGGGGACACTGAATGCATTTGAATGCAGTCTAGTATTTTAATTTTCGGGAGGTTAGGTTTCTTAAAGACACCAACCCCGTCGTTCAGGAAATCATCGCGAGTTATACTCGCTTCGGTAACAACGCACTCGATTTCAGCTTCTTTACTTGGAATATATACTCGATATTCCAACAAAAAAGCTCACATACAACAATTTTATTTGCCTGCACACGATCGCTAACGGTAACGGTTGGTCTTACTTTCAAAATCTCGGTCACGGCTGAAAAGTGTTTAATCAGATCCTTTGAAATCTGATGAACATTCAAAGCCTTTTGTTTGCGTTGGAAGAAGACAACCCACGGGCCTTTCGAGTATTCTGGGTAAGACTTAGAGCGGGGTGCAGGTGATGTTCTCGGGGGAACGGGTGGACCCATGACCACCAGAGAAAATTCTTCAGAGGCGATTCTCGTTTTTCCTTATTAAAATTAAATCCTGACTCTATCCCTATTTCCTACTTAGGTATTCGTAGTAGAGTGCGAGGGGGACGACTCTATCTACGATGCAAAAAAGATTGTGTTTTGCTGTGGCTAGCTGCGCGCACGCTGAGTAGATAGAAAGAAGATTGATGACGATTCTGAAGATTTCCTGCAAAAAATTGATGAGCGATGCAAGTAGATGCGACAAATGAAAGAAGATTGTTCGAAGATTGATTCGCTAGTGTGAGATTTGTTGACCATCTAAACTTGAGATTTAGATGTGTCGCCCCCCTCGGTAGAGTGGCCATCCCGACTTACATAAGTTTTCCTAAAACATAAAAGGACGCAAGAACACGAGTTGATACGATAGTGAAAATGAAAACAAATAACAAGACGAACAGGTTCAACTGGAAAGCACTTCTCACTGCTATTCGCCAAACGTCCCCGACCTAGCCGGACACAATAAATAAGTTGCAGTTGCAATTATCCCGGACCTGACATGTACCCACTTATGTCAGCCGTCCCAATCTCAGCAACCCAAGCACGTCCCGACCATTGTCATTCGCGTCCCGTGCCTTCTTCGGCGTCTTATTTTTTTTCATTCTTCAACCGACGCCATTAACGAATGCGCGCACTGACGAGGATAAATGCTCCATAAATCATTGTTACATCTCTTACATCATCGTGCCCGAGCCGAGCCGTTGTTGTTGTTGTAGTGAGTGATCTTCTCCGGTGTCGGTCCATCAAGAGTACCGCAAACATTTATCGCCGTAGTGCCATCTTTTGCGAGACACGACAAACTTGAATGACAATGGCGTTTTGCGTACCTACTGAATAAGTGCATCTGCAAGGCTAGCCGAATTGACCGATTGGTTTTAGTATGTGGCCTATAGAGTACGCACATTACAACACACACCCATTTCTCCGGTGCCATCCATCTAGCTAGTGCTAGAGGATTGCTTTGAGCACATAAGATCTTGCATCGTCCATTGAAGACGCAAATATTTGGGCTTCTGTTGCATTGCAGTATCTGCTTCGTCTGATGGTACGTTGGTCATTATACACGTTGGCCAATGTGGGTATTTTAGCTAAAAACAGGGTAAGTAACATATTGATGAATGGAGCCGCCAGCTAGCAAGCAACACCTCTCTTTAGCAACAGCACAGATGGTGGTGGTGGTGAGGCCACGAGCCTCATCGGAGAAGCAATAGACAGATTTGAACTGATTTAAAGAGGGTAACGATGAGCCACTTTGTCCAAGTACCCATCAATTTCTGCCACTTGACTTTGGTATTAGGGACCTGCTTTTTTTTTGTTTGCTAGTTGGAAATGAACCGTGTGGAGCGGTTGATGACCACGTGCACGTGCTAAGCAGTAATTTGGCAATTGAAACGAAGTAGGCCACGTGAAATGATCTCCACGGAAATGGCCATGTGCTGTGCGTCCTTGGCGTTCTGCTCATGTTTGTTCTGATGGTTTCGCACTTGCAAGATTTGCGTTTGCCGCCAATGTCAACATCTTTGATGCCTTTGGAGGAACCGGTAGATGGCCTTTCAATATTGTCAACCCAGCAACAGAAGCGCCGCTCCGTGATAAATGTTTACCTTACGATTACGATCAACCAGATTTGCACCTCCTACGAATTATTCACTCTCACTCTCGATCGATCTTGAAACAAAATGAAAACAAAAAAAAAGATGCCTCGAGGGGAATGACTCCGTCCTCACTATAGGGTGTGAGAAGCATTTTGTGCTCCTTTGCCAAAAGCGAAAAGCCCCGCGTGCAACTTATTAGCGTAGTAGGCATCGCCTATTTGGAGTTCGAAGCAATGTGCGATCGCGCTGCCTCGCCTGCTTCGACTCCGGCCTCCGTCGATGTGCGAGAAGAGGCGCGGGTATTTGATGATTGCTTGTTAAACATCGAACAGCACCTATTACTATTATTAATATGTATTATGTCATGCGCGCAAGAGCTGGGCGCTCTCGTCGTCTCTCATGACAGCAAACAAACTGCGCACCACAGTCTAGAGATGCGACAAGATTGCGGTCTTCGACAATCACACCGCGTGTCGCCATGGTCACCTTCGACGAATTCGTCTTCAGGTT